TAACAAGTTTCTTTAATGTCCATCTTCCTTTCTGATGCAGGTGGTGTTGCCAGGAGCATGTATGTCTTACTGTCAAGAAAAACCCTAAACCATTTTAAATGCCATATTTTGTAGGTCTTCGAAAGGGTTAGGAATTTAACCTGCTGGAATTTAAGGCGTGAGCCACCACACCCAGCTACTCTATTTCAATTGTCCTTTTTTCTTTCTTTTTTTAAACCATTTTATCCTGTTTCTTTTTCTCTCCCAAGCCTACGTATATTTTAAAACACACTGTAAACCTTTAGAGGTTTTTCTTAATCTGAATCTGTCTTCACTGCAAACCTTTATCTTTTTCTGGCCATGAGTCTTTTATCTGGTAAACAACAACATTGCTAAAATGAAGGCCACAGTTGTTTTAGCTGCGGTCTATCCAAGATGGTGGTGGGCACTTTTACTGCCAGAACTGAGAGCTGTGCTCACTGCCTTGGTCTATGCTGCTGGCTTGGAGATGTGGTCACTGCCATTGTCAGCTCTCATACACACCATTCAGTTGTTAGCAGAGCTCTTTAAACCTTGCAGGGTTTTTTTTTTTGTTTGTTTGTTTGTTTGTTTTTTTTGTTTTTTGTTTTGTTTTTGTTTTTTTATGCTGAATCAGGAAACCTCCCTTAAAGGAGCAGAGCTAATTTCTGCTTGTCTGTAGCAAAGCAGAGTCCAAGTGAGAAAAATGCTGCTATCAAGAAACCTTGCTTGTCTCTGTTCTTTTGTTTCTAAAACCATTTTTTAAACTTTTGTTAAGTTTTAAGTGGAAATTCTTCGGTCCGCGTTGGACGCCCTTATGTTATGAGTAGTTTTTTTTTTCCAAGGGCCTGATCCCAAAGCCACGCTAGCCCCAAATAACACACAGAGAGGCTGTATTAGATACAATTCTGTTGGCCTGTTACTATCTTTTCTTATTAGCTAGTGCTGTCTTAAATATTAACCCATTTCTATTAATCTAAGTATTTCCAAGTGGTCTTATTTTACTAGAGAGAAGGCATTCTCTCAGTCCACCATCTTGACTCTCCTCCCTACTTCTTCCTCTCTCCTTCTAGTCTCCTAGACCCACCACCTATCTTGCTTTCCTATTAGTCAACAGTGCTTTATTTATTAACCAATAAGAGAACCATATTTACAGAATGACACCTTCCATCAGAGAAGAACTGTGATGATAGCTCTAATTACTACAGTCCTTTAGTATGCTATTTTTTGATGTGTTTAATATCATCTCCACTCAGCTTACTGTATTGCATGGCTGACAAAATTAGTAATTATTTCAGGCATCCTTGCCAGTCGGGCTTTTTCAGTTCAGGGTTCTGTCAACTGCAGGCATATACACGAGATTTAAAAAGCTCTTCCAGAGGACTTGGGTAAAATACCCAGCACCCACATAGAGGCTCCCAATCACCCATAATTGCAGTTCCAGGAAATGCCTTCTCCTTTCTGATCTATGCAGACATCAGGCATGCAAGTGGTACAGACATACATGCAGGCAAAACACATGTAAGTGTAAAAATGTTAAAAAGCACCAAGCGTTGTTTCCTGCAGCTGCAGACGATGAAAACAAACCACAAAACTCAACAAAACCCACAAGAACTTTATTGGGGAAAGGGAGCAAAGGGAGGGGTAGGTGTTGGCTAACTGGGAAAGTTAAAAGAAGAGATGGGTGGGAGTCACTTGCTTGAACATTTATTTATAGTCTTTACACAGCGATGCAACACAGGGCCCTTTGAGCTGTCTAAGTATCTGCCTGAATGCCGGTGTGCTAACCTGCCAGCTATCAGAGGGTGGGCGGGGCAAGCCTAATGCCAGGCTATCAATACAAACTTGTGGCACTCAGGGAGGAATGAATGCATGCAGACTGCCACATCAGTTTGTTGAGCAGTTGGATTCTATACCTGGACTGCAGCTTAACAGTGGCTCCTTATAGTGGTGGTACATGGGACCTGGAGGAGCACAATCTCGTTAAAATCTTGGGTAGTGTACTTGCACTCTACAGATGACAACAAACTCCAAGACAAGTAGAAGCTTCCTACAGTTATGCATTTCTGGGTGATCCTACTATTTCCTTTTTACACTTCCAGTCCTCTCAGTAATTTTGTCCTCCTTGAAATACAAGTGACTTCCATTTTCTTGATAAATTACATTATTCAGAGAACCAGAAAATGTGACCTGTGTATTAGAAGGCCGCTTATTTGGCTATAGCTCTTCAACCTAACCATTCTTAGTCTGTGGGTCAGAGCACGGTACAAAGAGTAGGGAACTGAATGGGATTTAGAGCCAAAAACCTAGAGACAGAGACTCAAAACTAAAATAGTGTCTTTTCTGATGGTCATTTGGGTTGGTTGGGTATCATTTAGAGCCCAATATGAGGAAAGAGCTGTGTATTTAAATAGTTATAATAAAAAATTGTAAGATATTAAGTTACATTTTCTACAACTCAAAATACCATTTAAATATCTAATATTTACTTTCTTTTGAAAATAATCTAATGAGCGCTTAATACTTCTATGCCAATAAGAACAATACCTTAAATAATTTTTGTTTTACCAAGAGAGGGTTCTTCACTAGCTTTTGGAGGCTGTCCTGGAACTCACACTGTAGACCAGGCTGGACTCTGCCTCTGCCTCCCAAATGCTGAGATTTAAGGGTTGCACCACCACCACCCGGCATTAATTTAAATTTTTTTTTATTACTGTGTGCATGTATATAGAATGTAACATATAAATGTCTGAAAACAACTCTGAGCAATCAGCTCTCTCCCTCCACCTTCCCATAGATTCCAGGAATTGAACTTGGATATCAGGGTTTCATGACACTTGTTTTTAAACAGCTCAGCCATTTCATCAGCTGCTTTTGATTTTTGTTTTTTTAATCAGATGTATTCACTTTATTTTTATGTGTATTAATGTTTTGCCTGCAGGTATGTATGTGCAACACTGGCATGCCTGGTGCCCAAGGAGGTCAGGACATCAGATCCCCTGGAACAGTAGTTGTTGGCTATGAGCCACCATGTGAGTGCTGGGAACAAATGGAGGTTCTCTGCAAAAGCAATCAGGGTTTTTAACTGCTGAGAAACCTCTCCGGCTCACTTTTGCTTTTATTTTCCTCTTATATGATGTTAAATAACAAAGACCTGCTTTAGAAGTATAATTCATTTATTTATAATGTAGGTGTTTTGAGAAATATTCTTAGGCTTCTAAACCATTACAGGGTAACTAATTACTAAGGAATACTTTAAAATGGGATCTAATTATAAGCACTCTGCAAACTACAAGACAATACATATGAAACTGAAATACGCATAAGTTGTGATTTGGCACTAGGTATATACATGAAAGTGTATGCATACATTCACCAAAAGATGAGAATGTTATCCATAGTGCTATTTTTAATAGTTTAGAACTAGAATCCCTCGACTGCCCATCAGTGGTAAAATAACAAATCCTGGAGTACTTTTTTTTAAATGGACAAATAAAACAACTAGAAACAATACAAGTAAATTTTAATGTTGAGAGGTTGAACAAGGATATCCCAGGTCTTAATCTCTAGAACCTTTATTTGGAAAACAAGACTTTGAATATATAATTGACGATCTTGTGACTAGAAAATCAACTTGGAATATTCAGAGGTAGAAGCCCCAGTATAAAAAGAAAACAGGTGTGTTGACAAAAACAGGCTTTGGACACGGAGGAAGGAGCCATTAGAAGAATAAGGAAGTCAATAGAAGGTGACAAGGCATCAAAGCAAACTCCTGTGGACCAGTTCTGTTGATGCATTTACATTGGGATAATGAAACTGACTGGGATTTCAGATCTGTAGGAATAGTAAGAGAATAAATTTGTGTTAAGTAATTAAGTACTTGTTACAGATAAATGGCTATGTTCACAAAAATGAAAAATAAAAAGATTACATATGGCTGCATTCACCTAGAAATTTTTTTCAAGGCAAAAATAATTTATAGGTCTAAAAGGAGAGGACTATTAAGAGCCAGGAAGGGTGGTTGCATGCTCTTAATCCCAGCAGTTGTGGGGGCAGATGCAAATAGGTCTTTTGTCAATGCAAGTCCATCCTGGATTATATAATGAGACCATATCCAAAAAGAAAAGAGAAAGTAAGTTGTGGGGCTGGAGAAGTGGCTGCTCCCCTAAAGGATATGGATTTGATTCCCAGTATCCATGTGGTGTTTTACAACTTTCTGTAACTGTTCTAAGTGTCTGACATCTTCCTGGAAACCAGACACAAGTGTGATGCAGACATACCTATAGGGAAAACTTGATGAGGGACAGGGACCAGCAGTGGTGGTGCACACCTTTAGTCCCAGTGCTAGGGAGGTGGAGGCAAAGCAAAGCCAGCCTGGTCTGAAAGCTGCACAGAGAAACCCTGTCTCGAAAAACCAAAAGAGAGAGGCAGGAAGAACTTTGCAGTTATTAATAATGTCCTGCGTTTTTATTTGAAGACTATGTTTAGTTTTCGAAACTTTAATCTGTGCCCTCTCCTGCACATGTGGTATACAGTTTTGGAAATAGGGCCCCTTCTGGCTAGCCCTGAAATTTGAAAAGCTGAGGCAGGAGATTGCCACTCTCAGGACAGTTAGGCCTGCAGAGCAAGATCTTGTCTTTTTTTTTTAAAGTACTTTCTTACAATCTGCTGAAAACAATATGTATTCTGATGGGAAAATATTTACTAAATAACTTTATTTCTCAAAAACTAGGGATTTTGTTTCTCTAAGACTAAATCATTCTCATGAGGAGAGAAACAAATACTTGTGACTTTTAAATGCTAAAACAAGGTGCTGCTTAATGAGATTTGTTGTGCTTGTATCTGGACATTACAAAAAAGGTAGACTATGTTTTCTAAAATAGCAGTAAACTAATAAGAAAGGGGTACTAAATACTAAATAACCAATGTCTTTTGTACTTAACATTCTCAAAAGTAGTAAAAATGGTAACAGATTGTCCTACAATCATTAGATACAAAAACAATTTATAAAACACATCAGAATTTTATTGCTTGGAGAATACAGCATATGAAATCACAAGAACATCAAAATGAAAAGTCACTAGGCTTCAAACATAGAATACATTACCAGATGCAGTAAAATATTAATTAACCTGAAGTCTGCATCAGAAAATAAAAGGTATGGAAAAATATCTAAATTGTTTGAGAAACATACACTTAAAACAAAGTAAAAGAATGTTACAGTACAAATTAGAAAAGCCAATAGTGACTATTTTTGTAGACTAAACTACCTACCTACCTTTGGTACTTAACATTTTTGAGAAAAAAAAAAAAAAAAAAAAAAGATTCCTCCTATTTTTTCCAAACACTTCATGGGCACAGCCACAAAATACCTTCAAATAATTTCAACATAAAGCATTCAGAAAAATTACTACCCTTTTTATTACCTTTTCTGTTATACTGGGGAAGTACATCTATCTGATAAATGCATAACAATATTTCCCTTTTTCTAAAACTGCAAAATATGAGTATTAAGGAATCTAATACTTATAAACTTAGCTCTCCAAATAAAATTAAAATCCTGGCAGCTAGAATCTCTTCTGGGGCTTAGTTTAAATGACTTGGCAACTGACATAGGAACTTAATGACTTCCCATTACCTTAGGTGGCATTTACACCATTTCTCCAAATACACTGGATCCCTCTTACAAACACTACCACACCTTTAGTCACTGAAGCCAAATTAGAGCTGCTCATTTTTAACAAGCAAATTAACACTTTATATAGGGCTGGTCAGTTATGACACTTTTTAATTGAACACAAAACTTTTAAAGCTATCACTCAATTATGATGATGGGGACAATGATGTCATATCAAAAGTTAGCACTGCGCTCTTTATGCCACCTAGTCAGGAAAATGTAAATGCTATGCTAAAACCAAACATAAGTAAACCACATGTTAAATAATATTTTTTAAAGCCCTCTTTCATAGCAAACATATTCTTAGCTTTCATTTATTTCCCCTAGCAAAGGTCTGAATATCCATGAGCCTCAGTTAAACCAACGGAACCCAAGCAACTGTTTCACAAGTCCTACCTATGTACTCAAATGACATAAACATGAATGAAAGAAGCAAGTAATACTATGAACAATTACTGAACTGGAGTGAATCATGACAATCTTCAAGATTAGCCAGTTTCTGAAATGGCATAGTGTAGTTCAGGATAAATTACACTATAATAAAACTAATTTTTACTGCTACACAAAACAGTAACAAAATCAAAAACATAACTCATCAACTACTAGTGAATACATTTCCTTCCTAGTTTTTCGATGTCTTATTTGAGTTTTTCTCTTACAAGTATATTTATCTGAGCATATGTAATTGTTGCCTGCATATACACTCAGTTTAAAAGACAAAAACATTTAGGTACTATATAGAACTGAACTTTTAAGCCAACTTGATTAAATGTATTCTCCCATGACCCATCTCAATATAAAATTCTCACTTTTAGTTCAGTTAAAAGGGCAGAGAAGATGCAAATACAGATGAAGAGATCTGTGTAAATGTCACTGCATTTTTATAAACCTGATGCTTTCTGTAATACTGTTTATTGGCCAAATAAAGGGTTCACACTGCTCTTAGATTCCAGAAACACCGTTACAAAATCAAAGCTGATCTTATACTGAACCTTAAATTTTCAATAGTTCAAAGAGATAATTTTACAAGTATAGCACAGTAGTTGAAACTTGACAGCAGACGTCTCTAGAATACCAATGGTAAGTCCACCAAGATGCATACAAAATTTCAGATAAGCATTTCTTTCACTGTTTTCTTATAGAGGAAACAAAAGCCGAGATGGTGAATTTCAGATATCATCATCATCTTCTTCATCTTGAGAAGATCCTGCCTGATTGGATGCACTAGCTGAGGCTGCAGCAAGCTGGGCTTGTTGGGCAGCTTGCTGCATTTGAAGCCATTCCTGTTGGGCCAATTCTGCTTGTTGTTGTCTAGCCTAAGAATTAAAAAACATAAAAAAACAAGTGTATACATTTTGGTTAAGTGTAACTAACAGACTTACTATCAAATGTAGATATTTTCCAAGTTATTATTTAACTATGACATATCTAGAAAACAAGAACTCTTAGTATTTTTAGTTCAACTGAAGAAACGGAAAAGGTTAACAGAGGGACTGGAGAGATGACTTGGCAGTTAAAAACACTGGTTGCTCTTCAGAGGGTCTGGGTTTAATTCTTAGTACCCACATGGCAGATCACAACTATCTGTTAACTCCAGTTCTAAGGGATCCAACATCTTCTCTTGGCCTCTACAAACAATGTACACATGTGATATATAGACTTGTATGCAGGCAAAATACCCATGCACATAAAATTAAAATAAATATGTTTTTCTTAAAAAAGTTGACAGAGCCAGGTAGTAGTAGACCATGTCTTTACTCCCAGCACTTAGGAGGCAGAGGCAGGCAGATCTGAGTTCAAGGCCAGCCTGGTCTACAGAGGGAGTTTCAGGACAGCCATGGCTACAAACAAACAAAAAGTTGATTTGGGGGGGGGGGGGTCACATCACATTAGTCACTCTTTGCCTCTTCTTGCTGTGTTCTTTTTTTTTTTTTTTTTTTCTGTCCCTTCAATTATAATTTCCATCTTTTGTGGCTTAAAAGATCTCCAGTACAGTTAGGAAAAACATACCATAGAAAATACAACAGCTACTCTGATATTTTCTTTTGAGTTCCTATTATAATTCTCTACCCTCATGGTGCAAAAGAAATGTACAACATAAAATGTTTCTCAAATGTATGCTATACTTTTACATTTTCATTGTCTTTCTTTATATTTAGTCTACTTGGAATTTCCTAATTTTCACTTACTGATGAAACTGTACCAATATTCAACGTCAAACTGAAATGCCGTTTTCTCCTTCCTACATGAATCAAGGTGTTTTCAGGAGAGAGAATTAACATTAGTTCTTTAAAGAAGAAAAAAGACTGTTAACCAAACATAAAACTGATAACAAGCAACTGAAAAACCAAAAGACATTAGGAGATATCAACTACAAGCAGCAGTCACCAGTCTAATCTGGAAACAAAAGAGTCTGGAACATTTAAAACTTGTTTGAGGAACAATCAAGTGGCACTGAACTCAGATCTCCAAAGAACAGGTGTATTTGCTAAAGTATGAAAGCATGGAGAACCCACCTGTGGGGACCTACACCCAAGAAAGGTACAGGTTCAGGCTGGTTCTGTAACAGAGAAAATGCACATCGGATTCAGTTCCTACTACAGGACAAACTGGTACAGCCAGCACAAAGTGTTTCTGGACTGTGGGTGTGATGGCACGCACTTATACTCCCAGTACTGGAAGACAGGCAGCCTAGGCTACAAGAGAAATCCTGTCTCAGAAGACATAATAAATACCTAACTGTTCCTAGATTGGTCACAGGAACTGGAAGAGGAAAGAAAAAAAGCAAGGCCTGTTTACTTACGCTAGACCCTATTGGTTGTAGAATCCAATGAGGATCTCAGATAGCAAAGCAGCAGATGTACTTGTACATCTGTACACAGTACAATGCTCTCCCCATATGTAGCTTCATATTTTTCTTTTATGATTACTGTTACCTGGAATCAACCAAATATTAAGTGGAAAATTCCAGAAATAAGCAAGCTTTACCTGCTGAGCCAACCCATGCTATATAAGCCTTATAGATTTTTTAAAAATGAGAATTAAATGAGCTAATACATACACAGATTGCTGGTAATATCATTAACAAATGGTTAGAACTCAATAAATATTGAAAAACTTTTTCTTACTAGTTTGTCTTAAGGTTTTATTATATTATTTATGTATGTGCGTGTCTGTAGGAGATATGTGCACATGAGTGCTGGTACCCTCAAGGTGCTGGATCTTCTTAGAGCCCCCCCAATGTGAGTGCTGGGAACTGAACTCAGCTTCTGCTGGAAAAGCAGTATGCATTCTTAACCAGAACTCTTTCTAGCTCCTATTATTAAACAGTACTTGTATCTTGTGCTTAATAATGTTTAAGGCTCAAATGCAGTGACATTTGGCGGTTGTAACTCCTACTAAATTCAAAACCAGCTTCACAGATCAATACATATTAATCAGATTTTCCTTGTATTCCACTCATAATAAAATCTGGTACGTGCTGGCACACACCTTTAATCTCAGCATTCAGAAAGCAGAGGCAGGTGGATCTCAAAGTGTGAGAGCAACCTGGTCTATACATCGAGTTCTAGGACAGCCAGAACTACACAACAACTAAAACAAATAAGAACAACAAAAGAAAAAAGAAAGAAAAAAAGGAAAGAAAACTGGAAAACTGGTTATTGCAATCATTTACATGAACCAGAGTCAAATTGGTTAAGTTCTAAATAAGCTAGGATGGAGAAAGAATACTCTAGATATGCTGATTTATGAAGTGATTTTCAAAAAACCCTTGATTTTGGTCAATTTCCAATGAAAATAATTTAAAATATATTACTTACTTTTGCAAATAATTCCTGTTGCTGTCTCAACAATTCTTCTTCAGGAATGCCAAGGTTTTCCAAACGAGAACTGGCCTTTCTTCTTTTCAGTGCTACTGTCTTGCATTCTTGTAAGACTTCTTTTACTTCACTGATGTAAGAGCCAAAGCCCAAACTTTCTAGTGCTACAGAAATGAAAGTGTGAAAGGTGAAAACTATGACTCTTCCTCACTTAAGTAACATTTACTTTTTTTGTGTAAGTTTCCTTTTGGGAGACACTTATTTAGCAACTATTGCGTGGCCAAGACAAAATATTTTACCAACCATTATTCTTTAAGTTTTACTTGTTTTTAATTGTGTGTATGTGTGTGTTTGCATGAGTGTGTGTTGTACATGTGAGTGTAGTGCTCACAGAGGCCAGATGAAGGAACAGTATGCCCCAGAAGCTGGAAGTTACAGGCAGTTGTGAGGCACCTGACGGGTGTGTGGGAACCAAGTCCTTCTGCAAGAATAGTACCATGCTCTTAACCTCTGAGCAATCTCTCCAACCCCATACTCATCTACTTCTTTAATATTTAACTACAGACTGGTTAAAGCTAATGGAACATTTCAAGGCACAAAGCTTTATTTTCCCCTCTTTAGTTTTTTAAAATTGCTTACAAGAAATATCTTTTCTATAACACTCATGGTAAGTCAAGCATCATTAAGTCTGGCAGTTTCTTAAAGAATACAAAAAAAAAAAAAAAAAAAAAAAAAAAAAAAAAGGCAAATATTTGGAATTTACCGGTTAATGACATAGTTTTCCCAGTACAAAAAAGTAGGCTAGGAACACATACATATTCATTCTTACACAAAGATGGGATGAAAGAATAGCTAAGTTTTTCTTTCCTCCAGTATGCCAACAGAGTGTAATAATACATACATGTCCCTGTACTGAGGAGCTGAAGTAGGCATCTGAGCTATTGAGATTCAAGAAGAAAAAATGTGCAGCTCCCTTTAATATACACAAATCAGTCTTTCCAGCAGTGATGGCTTCCCTGCAAGATCTTCTTTTGCCAGACAAAAACAAAACAAAACAAAAAACACTTGGTGCAAAGCCCCAATTCCTACTTCACAAATATAAAATGCCCAGAATGCTACAAAGTCCATCTTTTCCATGCATAAATCATCTTTCTTGTGTGCTGGCTGCTTACTATCCTCTTTGTCAGTCTACAGGCAGAAAGGAAGACTGACAAAAGGGTGCTATTCCAGGAAGCAGCAGCAATAAAAGCACCCGAATTAATATGGGTAAAGAATCATCCAACACACATTTTAGGTTAAAAACAACATACAAATCAGCAATCTCTAGTTCCTTATTTGTGGGAAGGAATAATGTCAAATTTTTCACTTAAAATACAAGATAATGTAGGTGAAAGTAGATTCTTGCTTCACTGGCCTGACATGAAGAACCCTGACAATCATGACATCCATGGTATAGTACTCCCAGAAAACTAGGAAACACTTCAGGACTTAGAATTGTCTACTTCTATAATCTAATCAGTTTCTACTACAATGCTAGATGCTTAGCAATATTCCATCAGCAAGTGTGGGGCAGTGGAAGAAACGAAAGCTTCAGGTTGTGGGTGTAGTACACTTGCCTAACATGCATGAGGCTCTGGGTGCAAATTTTAGTAGCATTAAAAAAATAATAATTTTTAGAAAAATAATAAACCAGGCATGGTGGCATACACCTTTAATTCCAGTCTTCAGGAAGCAGAGGCTGAGGAAGATAGAAGCAGGGAGATCCCTATGAGTTCCAGGCCAGCCAGCGCTATACAGTGGGACTCTGTCTCCAAAGAGACAGAAAGAGAAGGAAAGGAGGTAAGGAAAGAAGAAAAATAATAAAATCCAGAAAATAAAAAGAATCCCACTGTAAAAAGCAACTAATCATGTAACAGTTTACAATGCAAATTTCAAATATTGGTATTACTTAGGCAACACAGCATGTACCATTCTTATTTTCTGTTACAACTTCTCTGCAATCCCTCAGTTTCTCTGATTTCAAAGTTACTTCACATTTACTTTCCAAAATACACTGTAGATTAGGCTTTAGACCAAAGCTACCCAAAGTATGGTCCAAGTACTTGTGCCAGAGGTTGTTACAATGGCTGTTGCTTGTAACAGTTAAGAATGGAAATTCTGGGGACTGAAGAGATAGCTCAGGTTAAGAGGGTTGTTGGTGGCGCAGGCCTTTAGTCCCATCAGGAGGCAGATGGATCTTTTTGAGTTGGAGGCCAGCCTGGTCTTCCAAGGGAGATCCAAGACAGGCTCCAAAAACAATGCAAAGAAACCCTGTCTCAAAAAACAAAACACAAAACACACACACACACACACACACACACACACACAAAAAAAAAAAAAAAAGAAAAAAAAAAAGAAAAGAGCACACTGACTGTCCTAAAGGATCTGGGTTCAATCCCCAGTACCTATGTGGTGGCTCACAACAGTCTGTATGTAACTCCAGTTCTAGACGATCTAATGCCCTCCTTTGTGGGCACTGCACAGTCATATAGGCAAGAAAAACATTCAGACACAAAAAAATTAAAATATTTTACGAAGCACTAGGGAGACAGAAGCATGCAGATCTCTGAGTTCAAGGTCAGCTCAGTCTATAAGAAGAAATCCTGTCTCAAAAAAACCAAAACCAAATAAAAAACTTTAAGGTAATCACCTTATTGGAGAAAACTATAGATAGTCTTACATAATTCTTGAGACAGGGTTTCTTTGTGTAGTCTGGTCTGGAACTCACTCTGTAGACCAGGCTGGCTTCACAGAGATCCATCTACCTGCCTTAAGGTATAAGCCACCACCACCTGGCTGCATTGGTATTTTGCCTGTATGTATGTCTGTGTGTGGGATCCCCTAGAACTGGAGTTACAGACACATGAGCCACCATGTGGGAGCTGGGAATTGAATCCCAAGTCCTCTGGAAGAGCAGTCAGTGCTCTTAAGTTCTGAGTCCTCTCTCCAGCCCCTTAATGTCAACATTACAAGAAAAAGGTAAATTTATAAGTGCCAACAGGTCAAGTCACAGTTTTTTTTTTTTTTTCCATCATCACAGAAAATAGCCATTCACTATAACTGTATGAGCAAGCATATTCCAAAGTTGAACTATTTAGCATATTGCTTGATACAGCTACACTTTTATTCAGTCATGATGTCAATCAGAACTCTAAATATATCCTAGAAAATAAAAAAATTCACTTTCCCAAGAAGACATTCACCACTTTCGTGGTGCAAACAAATGTTTAGGCAGGTCCTATTGAAATCCTTTGCAATTTTCATTAAAAAGTGGATGTTTGATAAAGGTGGGTTTCTTTTCCTTTATGAATTTTAGCTATTTGTTAGATGATAATGTCAAAGATTTAGGTCAACAATCATATATACAACATAAAAATATAAACAGACAACTGGCTTCCACTTTTCTTACTTCTTGGCAAACCAAACCAATAGTGGGGGGGGGGGGGGGAAACAGTTTCAAGAACCAAAAAGGTGGGTTGCGAACACAGCTCTGAAGTACAGTGCTTGTGTAGCACATATAAGGCCCTAAGTTTAACATACACACAAATAAACGAGAAGCAGGGAATGGTGGTTACAGCATGCCCATGATCCCAGTGTTCAAGAGACTGAGGGAAGAGGATCTTGCACATAGATCTAGGCTAGTAAGATCATGTTAGCATCTTGCTTCTAACCCTGAAGAAAAAAAACAAAAAACAACAAATGTTGATTTTTTTTTTTTAGGGGTTACCTACTATGTACTGAAATGGCAAGAGTACATGTTTATGTAATACAATTATTTATATACGTGCACACACATTCGTCTATGTGTATACATAGATAGTGTGGCTCTACCCCTGCGGGGATTGACTTCTGGAATGATAAGTACTCAGCCTTAAGAGACACCCTTAGCACAGCAGGGTGTACTTTAAATCTATCTTCAGCACAGGATAAAGGGTCAAATCACTTGATCTTTTGTCAATCGATGGAAAAATGGATATGGTCAGTCTGAACAGATGTGTTCTCCACTTGATGTTAACAAAAAATTGAAAGTAAAATTTTGAAAGGCAGTAACATACCTGCATTGTATGATTAAATTTGTTTTCTTAACTTCAAAAGTAATCACGAAATTGTTAATTTCATTAGATTATTACAAAATAGAAGTTATTGTCTCAAACTGAATTTGACTTTCTCTTAGAGTTTATGAAAAGCCACAGAGGGCACTTCCTCCAAAATTGCTAAAAGTACTTTTCCCTTTCCTTGCAGCCATCAAAATGCAGTCTCCCAAACCCCTACTGCAGACTTTTTCCAAGATAAGGAAGCGGTTGAAACTTTCAGAAGTGCTTTTCAGTAAAGTCTTAAATACTATACACATCCAAATGGAAACAGCACAAGGGAAGGACAGAGTGCTTGTTAGAATGTGTTAGGCCCCAGGTTCGGGGGCCCAGTACTGGCAGGGAGGGGAGTGCCAGCACTTTTTGCAAAACTTTAAATACAAGCTTTTAAACATTTTCAAAGAACAAAACAATCAAAAGTTAGAGGGAGTAAAAAAGAAAAAATGTGGCACTTTGGTAACTTTATGATGACTGTTTTACCATTTTATCTTTAAAAGCAAACTTAGACTCCCTTTTTTTGAAAACAATAAACTTTACAACATTAAACACACTATGTCAATACATTTTTATTTATTTATTTTAAATTAAGTGCTGGTAATCAAACCCAGGACCTGTGTGTGCTAGGCAAATGATACACCACTGACCTACATCCACAGCCCAAGAATTTTTTTTTCTATTCCTGTGTTCAAAATGAATCTTTTCCTCCACACTGGTAAAAAGGGCCAGGCGAGGAAGAGTGCTTAATTTAATCTCTGACTTAACTCATGCTTGAAGTCCTGTCTAAAATTTAACTTTCGGAGAGAGGACTTCTTGGTTCCTTTCTCGGTTGTTGTTATTCAAGTTTAACTGTAGGCAGTCAATTCTTGTTGCTTTAAGACCTGAGTGCGGACTGTACTAGTTAGGTACTGAGGATGTTTGCTGACGCCAATGTTTGCATTCCTTATTTGCACTAGCTGGAAGAAAAATGTCCCAAGAATGAATGCTACACAGGTATTTTCTTAAGGTAACAAGCTGTCTCCGTGCCTTTGTGTACTTATTCGTGAAAATGGAGTAAGGCCTCTCTGTGACAAGAAGTGATCACACTATTAGCCAGACTGTTCCCCTGGACCTTCACAAATGGCTTACCTTGTATGACATGCTCTGGCGAAATTGTCTTCTTTTCCGACTTGTTGCAAATCTCATTGGCTTCCGAAGATATAAGGTGAATGAATTCAGTGCAGCAGTTCACAACCAGCTCTCGGGCATCGTTAGCCACCCGGACGTTAGGGAGAGTCTCTTTGATCATCTTATTTATAGCAGCTCTGGGGATAGTGAGATCATCATCGTTGCCAGATGAGGAAGCCATCGTACCTTCCTGCCTTTTCAAGCCCTAACTATTTAAACTCCTCGACTGTGGTGCACCACTCCACGAAGACTTCTCAAAAGGCCGCCCTGGGAGAAGGATGTCGGGGTCGGGAAGGAGCGGGCTGGGGGCCGGGATACCCACGGTGTGAGTTATCTCAGCGCGAGTCTGCAGGGCAGGCCAGGGTGCTGGAGCGTCAACCCCCGGGGCTGGAGCGCCACCCTTCGTGTCGCCTCCAACGGACTGACGCTGTCGTCTAACCGGACCTAAACGGCACGGGAGGGCACGCACGACGCACGAGTACCCGCCCGGGCGGACACCCAGCAGGCCCGGCTCTACAGAGCCGGAGCCCCCGCGGCCGCCGCCATCAGCAGCGGTTGCCACAGCCTCGGCCAAACCATCCTTCGGGCGCCCGCGCCATGTCTGCCGAGGCAGAACGCTGCTGAACACGCGCCGGCTACCCGGGAAGAGAGCGGACAGGGCCGAAAGCCGCCGGAGCCTCGGCGACAGCGGGGACGACCGTCCGGGAGAGAGAGCGCCGTGGGAGCCGGGTCAGCGCTAACGGTGGTCTCCCCACAGGCCGGCCAAGGAGGTTTGCCGCAAGCTGATCCCAGCACGCTTTGCGCCACCGGAAGTCGCGCTTCCCAGGTCCCACCCTCCCTCCCTACGGATTTCCGTGTGTACTCTCCTCCCTTCCCCCCCACGGGGGGGCGGGAACTGCCTGGCCTCACAGCCCACAGCTTCCGCCTGTCGCTGCCCGCCTCCTGCCGTCCGATCCGGCACTTCCTTGGTCTGGACCTAGGGGAGCTCGCCGGCTTTGCGGAGGGACGCTTGGGCAGGAGACACAGAGGAGGGCCACGTGGCAGAGGAGCCCCAGGCATTACTATCGGAATTAGGGCACTGAGAGAGCCTCACGTGCACTCGGAATGGGACCAGGGGAAGCGTATCCGTATCCCCTTGTGTGGTTGGAAGAAAGGCTTTTGTAACAGGTCAGCGCTCCCTGTCCTCGATTATGAGAAAAATGAAACCTTTAAAGAAGTCTCTCTCCTCGGTAGCACAAATGGCCAAGCTAGAGACCAGTAGTCAGATCCAATGTAGTGAAAAATGTTTGGCCTACTTTGGAAGAGAAAAACAAAATTGGATTATCTCAAGTAACTCCGGTATTTGTTTTTTTCCAGGGTGGTACCAGATTCGTCGCAGAAAAAATGCATTGCTAAAAAAACAAACAAAAAGTACATTACTAAAAATATATATAATAAATATAATAAAACTCACAACCGGGCATATGGTGACACACGCCTTTAATACCAACACTCCGGAGGCAAAGACAGGCAGATCTCTGGTGAGTTCAAGGCCAGCCTGGTCTACAAAGTTCCAGGAGAGCCAGGGCTGTCACACAGAGAAACCTTACCTCGGAAAAACCATAAAAGGAAAAACTCACTGTCATATTAATGAAAAGTTGAACGTTGTAATTTTTAAAAGAGCTAAGCCCCTTAAAAATGCATGTGTGCAATTTAGATCATCTTAATTCTTTGTTGGTAGGTTGAATGAAAACATTTTCTCCAAGATGCTTGATTATCAATGCTATTCAGTTTAATCTCTAATATAAAGAGTAAATAAGTGAAACTTGGCTCAGATGTATCATCTTTATAAAATGTTGTTAGTTTACTATTTATTTAAAAGGTTTATTGTCTAAATTTATTTGGGCCTTATCAGTCTGAAAAAGCCACCTAGCAAAAAGTATCACCAGAGTTGTCACAACCAAATCTTGTTTCTGAAAAATAAATATTTTTTTTTTCATATAAAATTTAGGCTTTTTAGAGTTGTGTGGCTTAAGAAAGAAACAAAAAGTATATGGATAGTCATAGAAATAGTTTAAAAATAGTAAGATAAAGTCTTTAGAGTAAATAATAAAAAAGAGTAAGTCACTAGGGATGGGAAATACATAGGGAGTTGGATCCTGTATGCTATTGTATTGATTTTGAATTTTTTGATTACTGAAAAGCAATGGACAGTTGCTAAAAGATCTGGAATTGAAAGAGGGACTGTTGAAATAAACCAGCCTAGATACTTTAAGAATGCCTTAACATTTAAAAAGTTAAAAAAAAAAAAAGTATTTGTTAAATGGAAATCAAAAATATTTCGAAGAAGTGTTTTTGCTTTTGTTGCCATCGGAAACAAGAGGCTGTGGGTTTGTTCCAGGCTGATCTGGTTTGATCAAGGGAGACCTGAAACTTGACAGGTGATATCAACAAAGGTTACTGCTGCTCTTCCCATGACTAGGCCATTATCGTAAAATTTTCTCGGGGACCCTAAAGATCCTCACCCACATTCAGAAGGAAGAAATCTAGAGAAAACAGCACCTAGGAGTGTGGGTGGGTTTTGGTTATTTTCTGGGTCAGGGAAGTTGTAGAGAGGAGTCAGGGTTTATAAAGACATGAAAAAAGGTGGACTTAGGAGACTCAAAGAGGGGAGCTAGGTGAGCTGCTAGCTATTCAGCCTCTCTAGGAAGCAGGATTCTACGTCAGACTTAAATCTTGAGTTCTACAGTAAGGAATTTAAATAAAATTCCTTAATAGCTTTGAAAGAGTTGGTACTTGAGAGCAAGGCAGCAACAATAAAAAAAGAAAAACTAGAGAGCGAGAGAGAGGAGAGAGAGAGAGAGGTTAAATGTTTCTTTCTGCTTATATTATTCTTTTATAGTACTTAGCCTCTTTCCTCATCTTTCTGGTCTCCCTGAGATCCCAAGTCCTTTGCCCAAATTTATGGCACATGCCTTTTGTTGGGAACCAGCAGTCTGCTGACCCCACCCCCTGATGATGGATGGGATGCTCATGGCCTTGTCTTATCTATGTCATGACTTACCTGGCTGCTCAAGCTTTACCTGGCTGCCAAGGGACTCAGTTACCCATGCACAAGTTTCCCTTTTAAAACAAGCGCACCAAGCGTGCCTCCCTCTCTGGCTCTTTCTCTCTCTTGCTCCTTCTTTCTCTCTCTTGCTTTCTCTTGCTATTTCTTTCTCTCTCTTGCTCCCCCCTTCTCTCCCCTCTCTCAATAAACTCCATGTGGGCGCTGAGTCTCGTGTTTCATAGGCAATAATTATAATATATAAATATATATATATAAATATATAAATAATACACACACACACACACTCTGGAGGCAGAGGCAGGAGGATCTCTGTGAGTTCAAGGACAGCCTGGTCTACAAAGCTACACTGAGAAACTGTGTCTTGAACCCCCACCCCCCAAAAAAACCCTAATTTCTTCTAGGAATCATTTTCTGACACCTCAAATACAAGCACCTTGCAGTTTCCCTTCATGGTACTGAGTATCAACAAACCGCCCCCTTTCTTCATTAGAATGTAAGACTTGTAAAGAGAAAAAAAAACCTCTCATCTTGTTCTATATTTTACTTTTAGTGCTCAGGATTATGGTGCCCTTTCAATGTTTACGAAGTATTTTTGTTGTTGTCAGCCAAAAGTTTCTAAAGAGGACAATCTAAGATGATATCAAAAAGGGTGTTTAAACCTGGGTGTTGGTGGCACACATCTTTAATCCCAGCACTTGGCAGGCAGAGGCAGGAAGATCTCTGAGTTCCAGGACAGGCTCCAAAGCAATACAGAGAAATCCTGTCTCGAAAAACCAAAAGGAAAACAAAACAAAACAAAAAACCCAAAGGGTGTTTAAAAGGACACCAAAGAATGAAAACAGAAGAAATAGAAATAGCAAACATAATTAACTTTCAAGAACCTTGGACCATTGACAGTATATAAGATCAATAGTTAAACTAGATAGAAGCTTAAGGAAGAGATATTTTTGTTCTTTTTGTCTTGGAGAGATTTAGACATTTAATGTAATGTTTTAGTTCATTTGGGCTGTTATAATAAAATACTACAAACTGGAAAGTTTATAAACAACAGGAATGTTTTTTTCCCACAGTACTGGAGGTTAGAAAATTTAAGACTAAGGCACTAACAGATTGAAAGTACACTTTCTGGTTCAGAGACAGTGACTTCTGTGTCCACAAATAGTAGAAAAGGCAAGGGGTTTTCCTTAAGTTTTATCCTTAGAGGAAGCAAGAAAGGATTAAGAATATAGGTTACCTATCAGGTAGGTCATCCCTGGAGACCTAATTCTCCCTCTCTGAGCATTCAGTGATTGACTTTGCCCTTCATCTAGAGGTGAAGCATTCTGGAATTTCCTTTATCCATGTCAGCATACTGGCTGGAACTGTCATCCCGAAAATGTTGTTTAGGCAATCATATTGTTGAGAGTGGGGGTATTGCTTCCCTGTCATATCTAGAAGGTGCTACCTCACACCAGGCTTCTCTGACTCTTACAATCTTTCCATCCCCTCTTCCATGATGTTCCCTGAACTTGAGCTGTAGGGGTTGTACTGTAGACACACCAGTTGGGATTGGACACCCATGATCACTTGTGGATCTCTGCAATAGTCTCTAGCTGCTGCAAAAAAGTCCTTGATAAGCAGTTGGTATGGTTAGCCCTCAACACATATAATTATGAGCAACACTAAATATATTTGGAAGGTTGATGTATTTATAAGCATATATACATAGATACACAGATAACAGTAATAAGTCATGAATTTGAGGTAGTGGAGTAGGGTTTGTGGCAGAAATTGGAGACAGGAAAAGGATGGACAGAAATAATGCAAATAGTACTCATGTTTGAAACTTAAATTTAAATAATTTTAAATTTTAAATAAAATAACCAGGTTACTTAGGAATAAACCTAGCTTTCAATGAAGTGACAAGTAGATAAAAGGAATTGGTATCATGTTTATAATTACTGGAGCAGGAAAGCATGGGTTTTCTTCTTTAGTTGTCCTTTCTGTAAAGCAGGAAGCTTATTCATCTGCAAAATATGTACACATCTGTGAGGGAGTATCAGAACGGACTCAGGTTTGACAGAGCTATAAGATACACAGACAGAAGTTTAAGGTAACAATGCTTATGTGAAGGTGAGGTTATGCTGCTTTAAAGAGCTCGTTTCTGCTCTTGTTCTGGTGGCAAGAATGTAATGGAGGAGCAGAGAAATATCAAACCTGATG